AACTGGTTGCCATTACACTGCCCAGCATGGCACAGTCCTTTGAGGAAAAGGGGATCTGGGGGTCTGCACAACTAGTAAAGGGAGAAGTATCTATCCAGTCATTAGTTTGTGCCATCAACATGCACTTAATCTGTCAATCTCCACTCAGAAAGCATGGAAGTCTCCATGCTGAAGAAATGGAACAAAGTTAAATGGTGAGCCTGTCCTGGTTGTTACCTCTTTCATTGTTTCTGCCTGGAAATGATTTCCTGTGACTCAGTGTGTCAGCTCACAGCATCCAAACTGACTCAGCTCGTGCAGTTCCAGAGATTCCTCCATCCCTGAGCTGCTCTCTGGAGCCTTCCCTGCTCCTGCTGTGGCTGAACAAACCCAATTTCACATCTGCTCCTGCCGTTCATGTGTCATCTCCTGCAAGTAAATCAGGCAGTGCCTCTGCTTGCTCCAAGCAGGGTATGGAAATGAGGCACTGGAAATGGCAATTGGCACCTCCAGGAGGTGCTACGAAAATGGGTACCAGTGGCCAAATGGTGCTACTTAGGTTAAAAATAAAAAAAAAGATGAAAAAATATGAAGAGAAAATGGATATAGAGTTTACCTCAGTGTTTACTTGCTGATGGTGTTTTGGAGCTAGGCTTAAAAACCCTTACAGATTCTGTTTTTCAGAGGCAGCGACAGCCCATCTCTCTTAAGCAGTGTCTAGCCCCTGTACTGTGCAGGCAGAAGCAGAGTGCAACCACATGGCAAAGCAGGACAGGGAACTGATCTGAGTGAAAACTACCCATGCTTGCTGGCTTGGCTTTCAGCTGGTGACTGGACCTGGTTCACCAATCACTTACGCCAACCCAGAGCAGAAGGAGGTATGGAAATGAGTGACCACAGAAATACAGGTGGAGGGTGAGAAGTGGCTACAAAACCATGGCCAGCAGAGGCAGTTACACACAGTGGAGCGGAAGGCCCAAGGGAAGATCTCGTTCAGACTAGCTCGCTCTTAGCTGGGGATAGCCCATCTCTAAGGGGACGTCTGAAGAGGAACTGAAATGCTGAAAACCAAACTGCTGTGAAAAGCTGCAGTCTGGTGTTAGAGGGGTGTGTGCAAGGCATAAGATATCCTTCAGAGAGAAAATGCTGGGCTGTTTCTCCAAGTCTGTCAATCAGCACCAAATCTGTGTCTTCTCCATTGTATTTGTCCTGTGGACAGGACCCTTCTCTTTCATTAGACACATTTTCTCAGCTGCTGACAAAGCCGCAGTTGTCCCCTGTGGAGCAAATGGTGAGGAAAATCTGACTGGACCCATAAGGCTGAGGCCTCAGAATGGCACAGCAGTCCAAATGGTGAGCTTTCAGAAGTCGTTCTCTGATCACATAATTCAAAACAACAGACACTGCAGGCAGGAGTCATGATGCTGTCAAGCCTGTGTCCTAGTCAGTGCCAACTCACTGGCAGTGAAGGACCTTTATACCCTGCTTACAAGATTGCTCCATGCTCCAGTGGCTTTGGGGAAACTCATTCTCCATTTTTGCCTCCCTCTCTCATTTTATTTTTGTTTTGTGCCTTCCAGTTTGCATATTCAAATGAGGCCAAGCTCCTTCAGGTGATAACTTTTCTGTCTCACATCTTGCCTTGTCAGTTAATTTTATCTAATTCTTCCAATGTAATGTTGCCTAAATGCAGGACTTCTTCACACAGTTTCTCTTGCAGCTCTGTGGTGGTGCTTCATTCTGAATCCCTTCCCAGTTGTCAGTGTGGAAACAGTGGAACGTTCTGGTGTGTTCACTTCGGACAGCAAAAAGGGGCTGGTTTCAGAGGAACACACTCCCTGTATATATCTGCCACTGAGTTCGGCAAGAAGCTGGGGAGGTTTGGAAGCAGTGATTTACATTCTGCTCCCCATTTCAGATTCCCATACCAAGTGTGCCTACGTTCCAGCCATCCACCCCCATCCCTGAGCGCCTGGAAGCTGTGCAGCGCTACATCAGGGAGCTTCAGTATCCTTTACTGTTATGTTAGTCACTGGTGTGATAATCCAGGATGAGGGAGCAGAAGAGCTCGTTCTGACGTAGTTGGAGGGGAACTGAAACTTGCTCCCTGAAAACAGGAAGCTGCACTTGGGATGATGTTTTGTTTTGCTGCTCATTTCTGCCCAAGTTACCTTCTGATCCTGTTCACTCCGTGTAACAAATAGGCATGTTGTCAAGGGCCTTTTCCCACTACCCACCCTTCTGGGTCAGTGGCATTTGTTGGCCGTCACATCTGCAACCCTGACAGCCAGGTCTTAGACTACAAACTGTGTCACCTCACTGGTAAGGTATAAGTGAGCTGTGGTGTTAAGAATAACTGCTTCTCAGGTCATCCCACTTGAACACTCTTCTCTGTAGCTGTCTAAAGGTTAGACAGCTGCCCTGCTTTTGTGCATCTGTGGTATTCTGACCCTTTATATGAAAAGCTGACAATGTCACTGTGTCCTGGGAATGAGATTTTTCCATCCCTGTTGTGCTGGACAGCAGGTATATGCAATGCATGCACAGTATAATCTCACTGATGAGATACAGAGCTAGCTCTGGCTTCAGCCCTAAAAAACGGTAAGGGGACAAACCTTTTGACACCTCTCACCCATCTAAGGTGGTTGTGCTCTGGATTGGGTCCTAGTCAAGTCTTAGAATAAGGTAGACCAGAGCAGGCAGAGATCTATCAAACTATGTTCTGTCCTGGTAACTGGAAAGCTGAGCAGAGCATGTGCTGTCAGCATTGATCTTTGGGAAGTGGAGTGGAAACCTGTGTGTGGGGAGGAGAAAGAAGAATTGATAAGAAGGAAATACAGCAGAAGTAAGGAGGGACTATAAATGGGAAAAATGCATGAGAGGGAGGTGGGGACTTTCTTGCATTGCTGTTATATCTGTGGGATCATGACTTTACTGTGAGAATAGTAAGTAACATGAAAGTTCTTCAGACAGGTTTTCTTCAAACTCTATTTTCCAAGCTGTCAAGCCTTTAACTTCTTGCCTCCAGGTACAATCACACTGGGACACAATTCTTTGAGATTAAGAAGAGCAGACCTCTGACTGGGTAAGTGCTAGCAGCCCCTCAGCATTTAATCCTTGCTTTACAATGTTGGGGCACACTGTTTTTCCTTCTGTTCCCTGGCCAAGGACAGGGTGGCACTTGGGGCTTTCAATACTGCAGCTCCATCCTGCTTTAGGTGACTTTATTGTCTGTTGCCTGGGGCATGGCTGGGCAGAGCTGTGTCTGGTCTTTCTCAAGGACAAGAGTAGATTTTATTATCATGAATCAGTAAATCAAATAAAATAACGTAAATGTATTTCAAGGTGTGCAGATTCTGCCTGCTTCTAACTATATGAACTGTATATAGAACATATAACTATATAAACTTCTGATGGATTCTGAAATTAGGTCCTACCCTAAACAAGCTTCATAAAAGCCAAGTATCTTTACAGGTCTAACTTCATAGTTCCTGTGAGTGCCTTTGCAGAATCTACTCTCACTAAGCTTTTGGTGTATCATACTTTGAAGGAGAAGGGGGATTCTCCTGACTGCAAATTTTGAAAAGAGCTGTGCTCTGTAGGTTCCTGGACATAAGCACCTGATGTTAATTGACTCTCCTGGCCAGCATATTGAAAGTCTCCCAAGACTGGCTTCTTACTATTGGTCTCATCCATAGACTTATGTGACCCTAGATGTCCTGTGTTTTAATCGGTACAATGGCTCCTTCACAGTATTTGTTGAATGGACAATAGAGTTGATGCCAGAGAATAGGGCTTCACTGTCCTTGTGAGGCAAATATTGTCCTATGGTCCTTCGAGGCTTCTGCTTGTGGCCACACTGGTGTCCAACCAGAACTCACTGAGCCAAGTGCTGTGGTCTCACTAAGGACAGAGGCCGGCCAAGTAGGCAGCTTTGATGTAACTCACTGAAGTTCCTCGTAACCATCAACAGCATGTGGTAGAGACCTGGTTTGGATTTAGTATCTTCTTAAAGAAGATACTTTCTTCTGTTCCCTGTCCTCAATGGGCCACCATCTCTGCTGGAAACCTGCTTCACATATTTAGTGCAAAAGGGCTAAACTGGCCACATTTGCATAGCACAAGCCCTCTAACTGTCCTCGTCTTTCCCGTGTCCCACTCTGCAGGCTGATGGACCTGGCCAAAGAAATGACCAAAGAGGCCCTGCCAATAAAATGCCTGGAAGCTGTGATCCTGGGAATGTATCCTTTCCTCTTGGAATTGTGCATGTCTGCCCATCCTTGTGTTTTCTCCTCTGCTCCCTTACAAAGCTTTCAGGCTGCTGTCAATATTGTTGCCAAGCCCCACATCCCTCTCTTTTCCCTACCCAGTTCTCCCAGAAAACCACCAAAAAAATCCAAATCCAAGCAATTCTCTGAAATATCAGAACTAGTTCTTTGAAGTTGCGCCTCCTTCACCAAGAAGGATGATGCTGCTCTGGACAACTCCGTATGTGAGAAAAAGGAAAAGGAAGAATCTAAGGAACATCTAAAGAGGGGCAAAAATATTAGGTAGAGTTGGGTCAGGAAGTCCTTTGTGGACTGACTTGGTACCCTTACTGCAATGTTGCCTGCATGTGTTCTACATTTAAAAAGTTAGGGATCTTCCCCAACATGGCGTATGTCACTTTACTATTATGTCTAACACTGCCTGCCAGCTTAGGCAATACCTTTATTAATTCTAGACACGTGTCATCTCTAAGCACACATCTTTCCTAGCTATCTTCCAGGCTTAGTCTATGTCACTCAGGCTGTAAGTTCTCGATGCACGTTGACAAAGCCACTTGGAGGGGCAGAGATGGCAAGTGAATGGTTCAGAAGGGTAATCTGATTAGTATTTTGTCCTTAAGGTCCTCAGTTTGTGTGTGAAATAGTAGCTAGTAAAACAGATTAAAACAAATTGAGGAATAATGTTACAGTATGAACAGTTGGGAGCTATGGAATACATACATTTGAGGTGTTAGCACTGCAACTTCTGCATCACAACACTGCCTTGAAATTAACTTCCCTTTGTTGAGGGTTTTGTCGAGGAGGCCAAATCTGGTTTCCCTGTGACCCACATGAAAGTAGGGCAGCTTGCAATAAGTTGGACCTTTGATCTGGAGAATAAATCCTGCCTGTCTGATGCCTGAATCGGTGGCGAGTCTGCTGAGCAGTATCTTGTCAAGAAAATGGTATCGCTAATTGTTTCCTCAATAGTGGCTGCTATCAGTTACCTCACCAACAACATGACCACGCTGGACCGTTTCCCCATCAGCTTCAAAACCCACTTCTCAGGGAACTACTTCCGACACATTGTGCTGGGGGTGAACTTTGGAGGCCGCTATGGGGCACTGGGCATCAGCCGACGTGAGGAGCTCATGTACAAAGCACCCGTCTTCCGCACACTGAGTGAACTCATCTTTGACTTTGAGGAGGCATATCGCCGCTGCTGGCACACTCTCAAAAAGGTGAAACTGGGACACTCTGTGTCCCATGACCCACACAGTGTGGAGCAGATCGAGTGGAAGCATTCCATTTTGGATCTCGACAAGCTAACTCGGGAAGACTTCCGCAAAGAGCTTGAGAGACATGCCCGTGATATGAGGCTGAAGGTAAGCAGCAAGGACAGAGAAGTAGTTTGCTTCTGCATCTACTGTCTTGCCTGGCTGATGGTGTGCTGGGGGAATGAAGTAGTAGGAGGTTCCCCTAGATGGTGCTGGAGGAAAGGGTGAATTAGAGGCTGAGGACTCTTCTGTATATAGGCTGGTTCCCTAATGGGACGCTTGTGCAGTACTGCAGTTGCGATAAGCTTGGACTGTATACAGTACTTGTAGCCATAGCTGTCACTATTAGTAGTTATTTTTTTCTGGCTTTTGCATTTTTGATGTGCTTGCCTTGCCTTTTTGTCTTTAGTTCCCATATAATTAATCACTGTTAGGCTTTGTGTTTTCTGGTTACTACTCATATTGGTTGTCTGCTTATGTTGCTCTTTCTTGAATTTTTCTGGCAGATTGGCAAAGGAACTGGGCCACCATCTCCCACCAAGGACAGAAAGAAAGATGTCTCCTCCCCACAAAGAGGTCAGGCTAGCCCCCATAGGCGCAACAGCCGTGGGGACCGACGGTGAGTGCAGCTGCTGGGCAGGAGACCTATATAGAGCATCTCCATTTTAGTCACAGACTACACATTGCTGTCAGGTTTTGTATCCTTCTGATGTCTTACTGGGGTTCTTTATAACAGGGGCTACTTCTCTGACCTGCAGTAGCATTCTTCCTTAGTCTGTGCCTTTACGAGTTTATCATTGCTTGGGGAGTGGGGAAACAGCTGGGGTTTGTTTTTGTTTGTTTGTTTGTCTTGGCAGGGAGAAGGAAGGCAGCTGAAATAGACAGTGATCTTGATAGCAGATATTTAACCTTATGCAGGGGTCTGAGCTCTGGCATCTCATAGACCTGTGCCCCAAAGAGATTCCAATAATTACATTGCTGTCAGTGAGGTTGCTTTCCTGAAACTGATCTGGAGTACCAGACTGCGCTTCCTACTCTTCCTAACCTGAATTCTCTTCTGTGGAGATTACTGGGAGAGTTACTGGAGGTCGTAGAATAATCCTGCCCTCAGTAGTGTAGGATAAGCCTGAAGCTTTCCTGTACTTTTTCATGTGCTGCCATCTCTATGTGCAGCACCTCCTGAATGAAAAAAAAAAACCCATTTCAGAATAGTACTTACCCTCTTTGCTTACAGGCCATCTGGTGAGAAGAAGCCTGCTGATTCCAAAGCCATGCCAGACCTCAATGGGTACCAGATCCGGGTGTGAAGAGAGCTGTGCCTAGCTCCAGAGATTTCTTGCTGGCCACAACTGGGACCTGGATGCACCTGCAGTGATACTGACAAAGGAGACAGGGGAGTGGGAGCAGTACAGAGTGCTGATCTTCCCAGGTACTTCCTAGTGGGCCAGTCCCAGAGCTGGATCCCATGGGTCCCAGAGGATTCACCTGCCTGTTTCTGGGAGAGGTGTCCATCTTAATTCACTGAAACAAGTATTTTTGCAAAAAAAACAAAAAAAAAAAAAAAACAAAAAAAAACCCAATGTGAATGTTGGTGGGAGTTTGCTGCAGGAAGAATATGAAGTGAGTGGGGTCAGCAGACTCACTATCAATTTATTTGTGTTGACAGCAAGTAAATGAAGCATCTCGTCTACAGCACTTCTTCCTGTCTGCACAGAAGCCTTCAACCCATGCAAGGCCTACACGGCTGAGGGAGAAGTGATGCTGGAATGGGATGGCCCCCCATCACTTTTTGCATCTTGTGCAAAAACTCCTAGTTTTGTCATTACAAACACTTTGTTTAGCATTGCTGTTGTGAGAGAGGGCTGAATTTGCTCAGCCCGATTTATTGATCATACAAAGACCTCTCATCTGCAGAAACCACATCTTGTGTGTTTAGTCCTGCCTATTTCAAAGCATTTCATTGTCTCCGAGGGAGTAGACAGTGGGATGGTGATCTTCTTTACCCACTGTGATGCTGGTGAACTGTTGCTCTAAGTCTCTTTGTTGTTGAGTGGGTCATCAGCAATGGTGATATGCCTATGCCATTGCCATATGAAAACAGGCACAGAGACCTCGATTGACCAGGCAGGGGCTGGTGGGAAGCCTGAACTTTGAACCCTCCCTTCATGAGCCTTCTCTCTCTAGTGACTGCTACTGTGAAAGCTTGCGGAAGGTGCTTCAGTCACTGAGGTACGAGTTTTAAGAGTAAATAGTTAAGGATTTAATGACATGAGCAGGTTTTACAAGCATTTTTCCTTTCCACAAGATCCTTGCTCCTTCCTCACTGTAGTGTTAGTGCTAGAGTTACAGACACATGCTTGCTGGTGGGAAGCCCTGCTTGAGGAGATTGCAGCTACCTTTGTAACGGCTCAGCCCAGGGCCTCCTGAAGGTAGTTCCCCACCCTAGGCCCAGAGCTGTGATTGTGTTCTGGTTCTTTGGAAAGATGCAGTATTAAACAGCACCACCTAGGCTAGCCTTCCCCAAGGAGCTTGGGCCTTTCTGCCTGCTTACAGCTTTGACTTTTCCTACGCTTTTTTTCAGGGGAGTGTTGTACTACTGATTAAGCAGTGTATTGCTTGTCAGAAATCTGGAGTGTTGTCAGATGTCTCTTT